ATAAGAAAATAATAAAAACAAATTAGTATATAAACACAAAAAATGAATATTTTAGTTTAATAGTGCCTATTTTATAATTATAATGTCAAAAAATAAAGAATAAAAAAATATTTTACAATGCATAGTACAAAACTGCTTGGCGATTAGGCGAGGCGAGCCTCAAAAGGCACCTTGTCGCCTAGGCGTCGCCTTGACAACTATGATTAAATGCAAAGTTAAGTCAATGCACAAATACCTTAAAAACAAGCGGTTTTAAAATAGAATATATTCATTGCAAATTTATTAACAATAATATGAGTGCAAATCATCATACAATTAGGATTGTCGACCAGGAGAACTCAATGTGACCTTTTCTGGTACTTTTGTTCGAAAATTCATAACAGGGGAGAGATTGAGGAGGATGTCGCCCATAAAAATTAGAGTAGTATGGGCAAAATGGAGAGTGCATCTGGAAGTCTTATGACATAAGCAGATACCACTTAGATTAAAAGGAAAATTCTATAAAACAATTGTAAGGCCAATGCTGTATGGAGCGGAGTGTTTGGCAATCAAAAAGCAACATGTCAAAAAAAAATAGAGTGGCAGAAATGTGCATGCTGAGATGGATGAGTGGAAAAACTAGAAAGGGTAGGATAAAAAATGAAGTCATTGGAAGGAACCTAGGAGTAGCTCTAATAGGTGATAGAATGAGAGAAAGTAGACTAGGATAGTTTGGTCATGTGCATAGAAGACCATCAACAGCACCTGTAATCTGTTGCAAGTTGAAGGGACTGGAAGAGCTAGGGGTAGATCAAAAAGGACAGGGTCATAGATCAGCTAGATTGAATCCCTTTGTCTCAGGAATAGGGGGTGCAACAAGGAATGATCTGATGTTGGGCCAATACTTAACGGAGTTAGATTGCATTTATTTCATATCATAAGATAGGGAGCCAATTTATATGGCCTTGGGTTGCCATTGGCTCCCTGTGTCACTTCTAAGCAATTTTTAAGAATATGGAGGCATGGGATAAGGAGCCAGGACCTTTTGATGTGTGAGGCATGAGCCTTAGGTACAAGGCTTAAGCCTCATGGGTTATTGGTTTATGTAGAGAAAGCTATCACATTCTTACAAATCATTTAATAAAATATTACAAATATTCTAACTGTTAAATAATTACTCCAAATGGCTTTAAACATGTTAAAGCACAGATACACATACTTAAAGCCATACATAGTACATATTCATGTGCATATGTGTATGCACTTGCAAATACGTACAAAGGTCATTTTATGGTGTGAGGAATGTGCTATATACTTTCTGCCTGAGCCTTGAGGCATGTTCCTTGAGCTTCACCTCAAGGTAAGCCTCAAGGCTTCAGCCTTGTTTTCTTTTTAAAACACTGTTCCATGATCTTCTACATATGCTCAGTTTTAATATACATCTTCTTTTACCAATAAAAAAAAGAATATTATAGTATATCGTTCTACCATGATTTTTGGTTGGCCTTATTGAATACCTGTCTACCAAACTCACAAAGTTTTATATTCCTGTTATTAATATTCAAGTGGTTTCTTTCAGCATTTGGGTCTTCTTAAATTGTTGATACTTTTTCTTTCAGCTTTGTTTTCAAGGATGGATCTCAGTTCTGTGAAAGATATTCCAGGTTTGTCTTTCAATTTCTTAACCAAGGCTTCTATAATCTCCGGGTATTTGTGAATGTAATTATCTAGGAATACCAGCTCAAGGTAAGCTGGAAGGACCAGAAGAAGCAACCCTCCTCCATTCTTTGTACATACTACACATGGTGTGCACAGAGAAGTTGGACCCTACCATTCAGTTCGTCTCCTTGTAGACATATTGGAGCTCTTTGGCACCAAAATCAAAGCAGAGGATATGATCCTAGTTTTGTGATCTTTTGTTAAGATACCAGAAATTGGAAATTGAATTAAGACTTTTATAGCATGCCTAAGGATCTAATAATTATGTTGATCAGAGGATGAATTTTGATATAGTCTCTCTCTCTCTCTCTCTCTCTCTCTGAGATATAGGCTATCTCTTTGACTATAGCTCATCAATTTGTGGGTCTAAAATGAATGGATGTTTTTCACATTGTAACAAGAGACATTTTCTGGTCCTCCCATCCCTACGAGTATACCTCCTAGTCCTAGAGAAGTATTCTGTTGCAATTAGTCATGGAAACTCTGCCTTTCTGCCAAATCATCCTTGCAGCCAAATAGTTTCCCGTGTTGTATCATTCTTCTCTTCTATGTATGTAATGAAATGGAAAGAGTTCTTCCTGCAAAAGGAATTGAAGTATGCACCTTCTTTTGATGGACGGGCTATATGCTACCCATCAGCTGAGATCCTTCAAGATTATCTGGCATGGAGACAAGTAGATTGTGAGTATTCAGTTCACTTGACATGTGAAGACACTTGCACATGCATTCTGTTTTTTGTCTGGCATGTCGAAATTTTCACCTCCATCCCAGCAACTGATCTGTAATGACATGTACTGCCATTTTGTTTTCCTGCTCTGTAGGTCATATCAACAATCAGTACAATACTTGTTTCTGGATGCTGGTTAAGTCAGGAAAGGCCAAAAGTGAAGCTCAGCATATTTTAAAGGTGTAAAAGATGTTATTTCTACTTGTTTAAGAAGGTTTTCCGTATGGAGTTTTGAATTTTCCATATTGAAATCTAGTTTCGCTGCAATCTTTTACTTAAGTTGTAAAAATTCATTGTTTCAATTTTATTCCATTATTTTCAATATTTCTTTGTTATATTCTACAATCTTCATGTTCTTTTTTGTTACCATTATGACATCCCATAGACATCATTTGTAGTTCATGAGTAACTTTTGTCAATAAATTTCCTTGAGAGGAACATTCATGTTATGGGTTTCATGCAGCGGATACTGCCACTTAATAGTCTCGTCAAGGTGATCTAGTTTAAAATTTCACTTGATGAAATAAATGTAACAAAGGATTAAAATTTCACAACGTATCAGGGCGTATCGGCCAATACACCCCTACAGTAAGTGTTTCATGGTCTGACCTGTTTCAGGGGGTAGACAGACTTTATACCGATCCCCCTGAACCGGTTTGAAAAAAAAACTAAAAAATGTAAAAGCGGATAAAGATACAGGCCGATACACCCCATCCGGGCATATCAGCCTGTACCGATATTTAGAACCTTGATTGTAACTTCCAAAGTATGAATGCCATATTTAAAACTCAAAATAATAAAATAGGTATTGTTCAGATCAGTGCCAAGTCCTGTCGATTTCTTTGGCTGATTCTTATGAGAGGAGGGGTTGGATGGTCTCGATTGTATTTTGGTCCCTCTCTTTCCAGTTATTTCTTTTGATTATTTTTCCCTTTCAGCTTTGTATTGTATTTATTTGGGGCTACTTGTCTTCTCCTATACGTTCAGAAGACTTATGATTCTTTTCTTTTCAGCTAATAAAAATGTTGGTAGTAGTAGTAATAGTAGGCTCAGAAACTCTTTGCAACCAAAATTATTTCTTTCTTTTAATATGTTAATTTGGAATTTCAAATTAGGTTGTTATTGTTTCTGCTATTTAAAGATTTGCAGCTGAACTTTGTTCAAATCCCAATTTTCTAAACTATGATGCTGATAGTCATCAGGGGAATACCCTGTGCAGAACTGGGTTAAAACATGTTGAGTAGCAGATTTGATTACTCCATGGTATGGCCAGTGGGACTTGTTTGAATCTTTGCATGTTGGTTCAGCCATCTTTCCCACTCTTTGCATCCTCATTAGCTGAGTGGCTTAGCCCCCAAGTGGGCTTACCATAAATAACTAGCCACCTTCAGCAGATGTTTTACTCAGGATTGCACATTATTTCCTAACCCTAAATTATACAATGTATGCCTTAATAATTCCTAATCCTTGTATTCCCCAATACTCCAGGGTACTCAAACACAAGAGAAAGAGGATCTGCTTCTGCAACAGTTTGGCATCGTCTACAATACACTGCCAGTGATGTTCCGTAAAGGATCATGTGTCTTCAGCGACAAGGTTATTTCCTATTTCATCAAATGGATTCTTTTATCCTGTAGGGTAGGATCCAAATTTTATACAGGCAGGCTTGCAGAGTAGTAAGACCCATGATTCAATGGATCTCTTAAACAGTTTTCTGTTTTTTGGATGGATTGAGTCTTACAGTTTTAGTAATCATCTACCACATTTGACACAAAAAATCACTATTTTAATTGTTCTTCCTTTTCCCAAAATTTTAGGTGGTCAATTTCTTCAACTGGGCTTATAAATTAACACAAGATAATGTGTTGCCATACCCATAAGAATGTCATGTATTAAAGTCTGAATCTCATCGTGTTTGGTGCAACTCATGTCTAGGAGGGGAAACCTGAAGTTCCATTATAGGATGCATCTTGTCACATTTAATTGATAATCTTACATAATTTTGTTTACATCTCCCTATAAATTCATTATTCTAAACTGATTGCTCTCCTATTGACAAAGATAAATTTTAATTCCCTGTATATTTCTGCTGGTAGCTTGCCAAGCTGAAAAAGGGATATCTAATTATGTTCCATGCATTAACTCACAGGTGGAAGAGAGCATGGAGGAAAATGGTGGACATCCTGTTGAAGGATATTTGGAGAAAGTGATTGTGGAACATTGTGATATAATTGGGTCAAGCTTTTGGGATTTGCATCCAAGCATCCTTAGCTGTAACCTTTCGAAGCATCCAAGCATCTTTTGAGTACAATTCTCTACAAGTTGGTATCAACTACAACATGCCACCAGCAATGTTTTCTAAAGGAGCAATTCTGAAGAAAAGGTTACTTTCTATCCCTTACAATCAATTCTTGTTTTCTGTAGCATAAAATTTTAAGGTTATACAGGCATCCATGGTGGGTGATGTGAAGTGCCTATGAGTTTGTGGGTTTAGTTGCCTGCCATTGGTTTTATGATATCAGGTGTCTCTCGCTTTGTCTCATTCTTCTCACTCTCTAAGTCTCAAATCTCAATAGTCATATTTTACTGTTGCTGATAAACAATATTTAAGGGCAGGCCAGTGCACGAGGCTCCCACCAATGTGGGGTCTGGGGAGGGCTATATGCAGCCTTACCCCTGTACATACAGAAGCTGTTTCCAAGATTTTAACCCTGATCACCCAGGTCGCAATCATGGTTCAAAGTATTGATACACCCCTGTGTATTGGCAGGGGAGTATCAGTACTAAAAACTCACCGCTCAATGCTTATTTTTAGTTTTTTTTTTTTTTCAAAACTTGATTTCTGGAGATGATCTTTAAGTGTTTTTTTACTGAAATAAATGGGGGTCCCAAAACACCTGTAAATAGGTGTATCAAGACCAAAAGATACAATACGATACGATACGCCCGATATGGGGTGTACCGTATCGATACTTTGAACCTTGGTCGCAATAGAGCAACCCAACAGTTGTGCCTAGGCCCATCCTCTGTTGATAAACAATATTATGTAATATAAATATAAGATATATATCATAAATATATTTCATATTTTCACCACTGGGGTTCTTGATGCCAATTGATTCCTTTTCAACTGACAGGAATGGATTTCTAACTGTGTACCTTTGTTTGTGTATGAAATTTCTGCTGACAATCCACATATTTGGCTCACAGGCAGGAGAGCGCAGAAATGTGAATGAGGTTGAAAATCATACTGAGATACTCTGAAGTTTGTGTAATACAGGTAAAATCGAGGCTTTTGGAATATGCAGCCGAGCATCCTTGGTTGCCTTTTTCACAAGTGAGCAGGCAATTGTGTGAAAGTTTCTGTACAAATTTTGTAACTATCGTACGCTTGAACTTTTCTTTTATCCTAGTTTATCTATAAAATTATGTGGTTAATAATTTCTTCTATAAATGTTGGTCATTGAATGTTCATTTGTCAACTCGATGATTTGTATCAATTCACAATGTATGCGAGCTTTGGGTTTATTTTCAAGTAGGAGAGAATGCCTTTATCTAGGACTATTTAGGTGATAACAAGGTTCAAAATATTGATAAGTATCGGTCAATACGTATTGTATCTAGGACTATTTAGGGTGTATTGGGGTTTTGACTGATTCAGGGGGTGGATGGACCTTAAACTGGCCTCTCTGAACCGAATTTGAAAAAAAACTACCGATGGGCCTCTATTGGCGTAATCAATATTTTGAACCTTGGGTGATAATAGACCTTTTTGCACATTGAGGAAAGCTGACGGCAATAGTAACATTCATAGTTCAGTCCTTCCATGTCTCAACAACTGAATGAGCCAGGTACATACTAGGTGATCATCGCAAAGGTTTATTCAATCATCGCATTTACATGGGATGCTTTTTCATACAGGCAATCACCCATGAATAAGATCCTCAGTCCAAAAATTCATTATTATAATGCCTGACATGCCTGAGTATGAACCTGTTGTATAGTATACTATATCACGTTACCCAACTGACGTTTAACCATGATTTAATTTGAAAACATTCTTACTGCAAATTATATAATCTGCACAACTGGTAATTGTCACATAATGAACTCATAGCTCAGTTACAGAAAAAAGACGTGACAACATTCTTACTGCAAATTATATCCTCTCGTCAGAGGATAAATTACTTGTTGATGCACGTGACAATATTATCCTTTAAATAATACCACTTTTTTGGATAAATCATAAATCAATCACTATACACCTTTAATTGGAGAATAAAAGAATACTATTAAATGCTCTTATCCAGATAAGCGTTTCCCAACAAACACTTGCCCGAACAAGTGCATTTACCTAGATAAATCATTTACCGAAATGAAAATGAGCTTTCACCCAAACTATCCCTTGATCTTTTCATATAATAGATACATAACTCGGTTGTTATATTGAATAGCATAAAAATGCCCAACTCTAACTTATACATGATTCCAAAGTTCGAAGAAAAAAAACATGTTTCATTATTTTCTTTCCTTAAGTAAAATTTAATTCATGAAGGAAGACTACACAAGGAACGAAGATTGTCCATAATGAAATCGATAGCAGCATGGGAACCCTCTGTCCCTGCAAATAGCAAGTGCTTGGGCGCTTCAGCCCTATCAAAATATAGTGCACCTGAAACCAATTTTTCTTTAGGCTGTAAAGCTAGCCAAATAACTGTGTCAGCACCTTCCTCACTTGTTCTAAGTTTTCCCGATAACCTGGAAGCAATTTCAAAGCATGGAATTGGTTGGGAAAAATGATGTAATTTTATTTTGCAATACACCGGGAGGATTTAAAAGGGGAGAATTAATATGAAATGTTGAAATTAGGGAGAATGTGATTCTAGGAAAATAATATACCGAAGAGATTTTCCTTACATTTTGTCAAAACTAGGCATACTTTTCGCTACACCAGGTGTCTCGGCCCAACCTGGATGCATTGAGTAGAACCCAACACCTGTTTTACTGTACATTTCTGCCCATTTTTCCGTTAATGCTACCTACAAAAGAAATGATAATTCGTGAAGGATGAGCTTGTCAAGAAAATAATCCGTATTTTTATTTTAAACTTCATATGATTTGGGAAGTGAAAAAACTTGGCAAAATGGATTTCTTTTCTATTTTTCTCTTTTATGATTTTTGGTATTTTTAATTTTAATCAACAAGAATATTGGGTCCAGACAATAAGAATCATAAATTTGATAATTGTTTACTTATGCATCCGATGTTCAGTCATTGGATCAGAAAGTTTCAAGTGTTTTCCTCTCTTAGGCATACAGGGGTAAGGAATCGAACTTATTAGTTGGATTATTTAGTAACCCTCCAGCCTGGGTGCATGAGTTTTTCTTAGATAAATAATTTTTTTAAGGGTACTTCTACTCCACATATAAGGAAGTGCTAATGTACCATTGTAAAAAAGCAATTAAAAAAATTTAATAATAATCAGAGTAGAGAATCAATTTCTCAAAAAAAAAAAAAGAAAATTGTCCTGCTCTTGCAGTCATGCTATCTAGTGAATATTAGTTCTACTGACCTGAACCCGTTTGTTTCGAGAATACTGTAGGATCCCATCAAATTTGCTTTCACTAAACTGCACAATAGAAGCATAAAACCTGAGTTAATTGCAATGGGAGGCAGAGTTCTGATAACTCATAATATACACTACATGAGTTACCTGTAAATCTTTGGTTAAAGGCGTTGTGTACATGCCACCTGAGGAGACTGTTATGACTCGAGCATCAGGAGATGCCTTCTCCAGCATTGGCAACATCAATTCTGTCATGGCATACGTACCCATCACATTTACAGCAAAATTTAACTCCAGTCTGGGAAAATACAGTCAACAGGAAAAACAAAATTAAGGCAAGGTATCAATCTAGCTGCAAATATAAGCAACATTTGATCATTTCTCAACTTCATATTGTGGGGAAAATGCATAAAACAAAGGTGATTATTTGAAGAAGGATGCACCCTTCTGGGGTAGTAATACGGTCATTCTCTAGTAAACCGGCGTTGTTAACCTAAATGAAACAAAGTATGTCAATATTAGACTTCTCATCAAGTATGTAGCAAAATATCAGTTCACTAGATTTAAAGATTCATTGTACCGAGTGAATATCATACTGAGGAAAGTATTGAAATACACTGCAAAAATATAGAAGGAAAAAAAGAAAGGATGTAAAGAAACCAAAGTTTCCATACAGAAAATAGTAATTTGAAATAAAGAGGCAAGTAAAAACTTTGCTTGGGAGACTTGTCAGAATTGACATAGTTATAGTTACCCAACCCTACACAAGCATGTGAATTTGATAATGTAGTTGAAATGAAATCAGGCATGCTTTTGTTATCTAAATTGCAAAGAAAGTGTTAGTGTAGGGGTATTTCTGTCCTTATACCCAGATTATGGTTGCTGATCTGTAAGTTGTGTTAGAACCAGTGCTCCTTCCTTAAATAAGGGCACATATGTCTTTTCAATTATTTAATAATATAAAGCAYTGTCTGGCCGAATGGGAGTTATGTTCTTGAGACTTCCAGTTCGAACCAGACTTTCTCCTTTTCTCTTTCTCTCTTTCTTCCACCTTTCTACCTCTTTCTACATAACCGATCTCAGACAAATAGAACTCCAAGGYAGGCCGAATCATAACATGGTATCAGAGCAACTTGAATCTTCCTAGATTTCTGTCTGCCTAGATTTCTATTCTCTGCGCACCCTATCTAGAGTTTCTCTTGATTTTTCTGCATTCAACTGGAGATAAGAGAAAGGGCTGAAAAGGAGTGATCGCCCTCTTCCCTTGAGGTTTCTATGCCTCCATTCGGGTCTTGTATGGTCGGTTGCTGTGGTTTCTAAGATCACCCTCCCCTAATCGATGAAGAATAGAGGGCCGATCTGTGTGGTGCAGTGGCTGTCTTGTGTGGACTGATTTCCTGCTCGTGTGGTTGTTCCTTCAGTGATAAGGTAAGAGATTTCTGTGCATGATATCTGTTATAGATCAAATAGGAAGTGTGTTTCAGATCATATGCT